TATGGAGGTGGCTGGGCTGAAACCAAACCCTCTAAGGGCTCCAGAGCCATTGCCGGGGTTCACATTTTTGAGTCAGGGGATGGTAGGAGTGGGGGTGTGAGATAGAGAGCTGGCACAGACCCATGCCTTGAGGCACCCCATCTTCTCAGGACACCTCTCTTCACTTCTCACCCTCTTGCTAGCTCATACTTCATGCCCAGATACTTCACGACCTTATACTTCATGGCACAGAAAGAGGCCTGAAGCCTCCCCCGCAGGGCCTCCCTGGAAGGCGCCTGGTGCTTGATTCCTGACTGTCTGGTTTACTGCCGCCACACCACAGGGACCAGAGCTCGATAGTCTCAGTGACAGTGCCTGAGGTGTGTTGGGGATGACCTCAAAGCTCTTCACTGAGAGTTTCTTCATCTCCAACTTTCATAAGAATGATGACAGAAGCTACCATTGTATGAAGGGATCTGTCAAGGGCTTTGGATTCTTTAGCCTCTGGAATCTTCACAAGGACCTTTGAGAAAGATTTCATTGGGATCTTCAGTTTACTGTGTGACAGGACACAGAGACTAAAGGGCCTAAAGATCAGCTGGTTCCCCTTCTCCTCCTTTCCACTCCCCATTTCCCACCTCCCTTCCTTTCTGGGATTCTCACCTCCCTTCCTCTCTTTGGGGTTTGGGAACAGGTGGTAAGAGACCTCACACCTCCCAGGCTGCCCACGGCTGAGGCTTCCCAGGAAGTGAGGCACTGGCCTGGACTCAGTCCAGACTTGCCTAGTGTGCCCACAGAGCCTGGAGGGGACCCACATACCGCAGGACCTTGGGGTCCACGTTTCATTCTTAGATCACTTGATTTCCAGCTCAGCTCTGTCTCTGCTTTCCACAGCCAAGTCTCTCCCAATCCCTTCATCCTCCACAAACCCTGGCCCGGGGCAGCCACAGCCAGTTCAAACAGAATTTCCCAGAAAGGTGACACCACAACAGCAAACTCTCCTGTGCTGGAGAAGGCAGCCCTGCAGCACAGCAGTTCAACCCGTCTAACCAGAATGCCCCGGGCTGCAGCCTCCTCAGAATCCCGCCCTGCACACAGAGACAGACCAGGTAGCAGCTCTAGAAACACCAACTCACAGACCTGGCCAGCACTTCAGCTTCCATTCATGGCTTACATGTCCCTCCCAGCTACACACACAAGGGCCCCTTCATAGACATGTCCCTGTAGGATGAGCCACTGTCCTGCCTGGCAGGCCACAGGGGCCCTTTCAGAATGTGCCACGTCACTGACGGGCCTGAACCTGTCTGGTTCTGGAGCAGAAGGAGCATGGGTGCCTGTGTGGAGTTGTGTGTTGGTGCCACAGGAGAGGGTGGGAATGGAAAAGAGAGGACACCGAGTGGTTTCCACTAAACAAACTGCCACAGGCCTCATCCTGCTTTCCGTTTTCATCCCCTCATGCAGCCAATACCCTGGGTGCCATTGCCACTATGTCATTCCCTCGGAAACTACCAGGTGAGGCTCGAGTCCGGCCTCCTTAAACCTGGCCCTGAAAGCCCATTGTGAAAGTCCCTGGAAGCCCTCTGTGCACGGCCCTGGAAGCCCACTGCACACGACCCTGGAAGCCCACTGCATACAACCCTGAAAGCCCTCGGCGCGCTGCTCTGGAAGTCCTCTGCACACGACCCTGGAAGCCCACTGCACACAACCCTGGAAGCCCACTGCGCACCTCCCTGGAAGCCCTCTGAACACCGGGCCCAAGACCCTCCCATTCATTTTACAATACGGTTAGATGTGTCCTGTCCTGTATGAGACCGGTGAAAACAAAGAGGAATAGATTTGGTCTCACCCTCAAGGCATTTAGAGTTTGGGAGACAAAGCAATGTCCTCACTCTCCCCTTAAAGTCTTCCTTGTGTTCCAGCTAGACTGCCCAGAGGCCCATGAATGAGCACCCACTGAATTCCCACCTCAGTCATGTCTGCTCCTGACTCCATCTGCTTCCTCCCTAACAGGAACCGAGAAGCAACCTACGCTGGAAGGCCTGCCTTCAGCCTGCCTTCCCCAGCCCTCCCAGCTGCCTCTTCTCCCCCAATGGGTCCATTCCACATCATTTAGAATCAGGTAACAGCCATGGAACCCAACACACACACACACACACACACACACACACACACACACACACACACACTGTAATAATGATGGTCAGCATCCATTCTCTGCACAGAAGAGCACTTCCCCAAATGCTCTCACACAGACTATCTCACTATGGCCCGAACTCCTTCTAGCCTGTGTCTTGCCTTCCCCACTAGACAACTATCTCCTGTGGAAAGGAAAAGGTGGACAGCAATATCTCCAAAATCTTTGTACTAGATGCTCAATTAATTGAACTCAGGAAACAGCCAAGCACATGAGGGCCATGCTGACTTCCCACCTCTGCACCGGGGTCAGCCGGGCTCCATGAGGAAGGGAGGCCAGGCGCTTAGATCCAGCTCAGGCTGCCTGCTCTCCTGCCAGTGAGAGAGAAGGGGGGACCATCAGGGCCTGCCCTCACTGGACAGTCTCCTCGTTGCTCCCTGGCAGCCCATCCCTGGCATATCACAGGCTTTCAGAGTCAGTGGCATAAATGGGACAGCAAAGGTATGCTGGCATCAGTATTTAGCAGCCCACTCCAAGAATCTGACCTCTGCCATGGCAGTCATTGGTGAATGGCCACGTGTCCCCCATTCAAAAAGCAGCTCCGGTCATCTTAGACAAGGAGCATCGTGAGCATAGCCACACATGTATTAATCATCTTGGAGTGTCCAGGTCCTGGCACTGAGCCTAGCAGAGGACACAGTGCTAGGGGGAAGGGACAAACCCATAATATGACTGGGTGAGATCCACTCTTTGGGCTCCTTGATCTGTATCTTGGCTGCCCCTTCCAGGTCTGTGGGAAGCTTTCTGCATCCCCGAAGGCAAAGTTTTTCTTGACCATCCAATTCTCTCAGTCTTGATAATTGCTGTACAGCAGGGAAGCTTCAGATAAGAGTGAATTAGGTGAGTTCATAATACTCAGTAGGGTGGGGAGAGGCATTCTGTCTTTTCCACAAAGTCTAACCTGACCCCTAAATAGTACTCTAAATTGTGCTCTGTCTCTTGAAGAAAGGGATGGACCCCCCTCCCCATACACACACCCCACCCCACGTGCGCTTACACAAACACACAAACACACACACAGAAACTGAGAAAAAGCACTATTCCAGCCACTAGACAAAAGCCCTGAGAGTAGCAGAGAGGCAGGGTGCTCCCGACTTTCCCCCACTGAGTTCTGGGACTCTCCTCTGTCACAGAGGCTGATGGCATGGGGAACACAGTGCCTTTACCTGGGTGCTAGTAAGTTGTTAGGATGGGAGAAGCCCAGGAACCCTGAGTCCTGTGCTTGGGGAGGGAATGGGGAGCACAAGCTTCAAGGGCTATTTTTGTATTTTAGAAACAACAGCCTTATTTTCTGTCCATGGGAAGGGGACGTGTGTCTCTTGCTAACACCCCAGTAGGAGTCCAAGAGCATTGAAAATGAGGGACCTGGGGCAAGCTTTCAGGTAAGCCCTAGGACTGGAAATGAAGTCTGCTGGCTATCGTGACCTGAGGCAGCCCCCACCCTCTGCTGTGAGCTCAGATCTCCAGATATCTGGCCTGGCCCCCAAAATAGTCACCGCACGTTTCCTTGGGTGTTAACCTGCTGCACTTTGTCCCCAAGACTGTGACCTGTCCTCATCTCCCATCTGGCTCCCCGACCACTCCCTGGCTTTTCCCCCAGCCTTTTCCCAACACCCCCTCCTAGAGTGACCTCCCCCCAACACATACTCCAGAAGGTTTGGTCTCACCCCGTACTCATCTCTGAGATGTCTTGCACCCAAAGATAAGCCTCCTAAGACAAGGCACCACAGTCACCCCCATTCCACAGACAGGGAAGTCAAGCCTTAGTGATATTTAAGGCTACCTGCTCCCAAGAGAGGTTTCTACAGCTAACAACAAAGACTGCCTCTTCTCTGTTCCTGTTCCTGTTCTCCTCCTCCTCTTCCTTCTCCTCTCTTCTGGCATGGAGTGTGTTGGGGGAGGGAGAGCCTCAAGACAGTTTGCCAAGATGTCAGAAGTGGGTGGGATTCTCTCACCTTGGGCCTCCCAGAGGAGGTAGGGGGGATAGAGAGAGAGAGAGAGAGAGAGAGAGAGAGAGAGAGACCCTGTCAAAGCTGAGTCACCCACCCCTCCCCAGAAGGGTCCCTGCCCAGGGGTTCTAAGCAGGGCTCAGCTCCACCAGAGCACATTGGAATCTCCTGCAGCTGACTCCCTGCTCTGGGATGGTCCCAAGCTTTTTCCTCCTACACAGTCCCTGGGGGAGGAGTGCTGGGGCTCTGCGGTAGAGCATATGATGGCATGTGCCAGCCCTTGGGTTCGATCCCAGCATCGCAAAAACAAACAAACGTGTGCACCCAGCAAACCTGGGACTGACTGCCCGCCACCGGGGCCGTGATGGGCCTGTCTCAGCCTCTTCAGCTCCTGGGAATGTCCCACCTTGCTTATCTGGTGTACCTTCACAGCTGTCAGCTGTCCCCAGACATACCTCAGCTGCTTTGGCACCTCATTTTACTCCCCCTCCTTCTTCCTCCAAGCTGGGCACCCCATCCCGAACCCCTCTGCCTAGTATGAGCCTTACTTCCCCTCCCCCGCTCCACTTCGGGGTCTAGAGATGTCATTTCAGAGGCTCTGGTGCCCACTGCCCCAGCTCTGCCTTAGTGGAGCCTACACCCGCCCTGGTTCTAGGGCGTGCATGGGAGGGGGGCTCCCAGCGGAAGGCCGGAAAGCCCCTCCCCCACCAGGCACCGAGAGCAACAGGGACCCCCTCGTCTCCAGGAACAGACGCTCCAATCCCAGGCCCGTGCCCCTCTCCCCGGGGTTCATTCCCTGGCCCTGGTCTCGCGCGCCGCCGGGGGCCGGGTGCGGGCAGGGGGCGCGCGGCGGGCAGGGCGGACCCCCAGCGCCTTACCGATGGTGGAGATGTGCGACGAGTGGAACTCGTTGTCGGTGAAGCGACACAGCAGGCAGGTCTTGCCCACGCCGGAGTCCCCGATCAGCAGCAGCCGGAACAGCACGTCGTACTGCTTCGCCATGGCGCGGGGCCGGCGGGGCCGGCGGGGCCGGCGGGCCGGCTGCGGGCGCGGGCGGCGGGTTCAGCCCCGCTCGGCCGCTGCCATCGCGCGGGCCCGCGCGCAGCTCGCGGGAACCGGGGCTGGAGCCGGGGCTGAAGTCGGTGCCGCGCGGCGCGGGGAGGAGGAGCGCCCCCGCCCGCCCTGCCCCTGCGCCGCCCAGACCGGGGGCGGGAGCGCGCTGGGGGCCCAGGGACCCCGCGGCGGGGTGCGGCCGACCCACCCCCGCTGCGCCGGCACCCGGGGCACCCGCGGGGGACACACTTTTTGTTCCTCAGCAGACGTTCTGCAGATGGGGGTCGGGGGGGGGGGGTCGGGATGAGCGCCCACCTGCCCACTGATGCCAAACTCAGCTTTGGGGTGTCCTTACGGCTCCCCAAATCCCATCATCCCGATTCTAACCCAGCTAACTCCCGCCCCGCTGCGGGAGCCTGGTTAACCCTACTCATCACCTGAGCTCTGCCCAGGGAGCCAAGGCCTCTATCAGTCTGGATGCAAATTCCCCTCTCTGCTCTTGAGGGTCCCCAGGAACACGAGGTGTGTGGCTAGAATGCTCTCTTGCTATCTGGCTTCCCTGCAACCCCGGGTGACTGTGTGCCCCACCTTCCCCCCCCCCACACCCTCTGAGCTCCGCTGCAGTTTTTCTTTAAACTGGGGGCGGCAGCGGCGGGTGTGGGGGTGTGTGTGAAAAGAGAGGTGATCATAAAAACATTTCCTCATGCAAAACCCTTTGTAAATGTGGGGCCTGGTGGAAGTCTCTGGTTTGAGTCGAATGTGTGGCGATCAAGAAGCCAATATATTTTTTCCAGGTAATTGTGTGTATGCCAAAGTCGGCTATGGTGTATGCCAAAGTCGCCCAAGAATGAATGGACTCTCCGGACTTAATTCCCTGCCGGCTGAATGAGTTAGCACTTAGAGAGGCCGGTAAGTAGTCCCAGGAGACTAGAGAACTGACTGCTTCCTTCCTAAAATGAATATTTGGGGAAAAGCAAGCTGAGTAAAGGGATGAAGTGTGTTGTGTCCTGCGACTGGTTTGGGACTGGTTACAGGAAGTCAACAAGAAAAGTGGTAAGTTGACTTGATTTGAATGATTATATTACAAACAAAGTTATATTGGGGCAAAGTTTAAAATAAAAGGGGGGAAATACTGATAGCTAGTTTGATTACATCAAAGACTACAGAAACGGACCCTGGGGGCTCCGTTGAGGTTTCAGGGGTGTTGGTGCCAAGGGTTCCAGGTTGGACATATTCAATCTCAGGTCCTGTTCCTCTATTCACCGGCTCTGCAACCTTGAGCACTCAACTCTGTGCCTCAGTTTCCTCATCTGTAAAGTAGGGATGGCCTTTCAGTATTGGAATAAGGTTTGGCGTATAAGGGAAGCACTTGTCATAAGAACTGGAGAGATAGCTTAAAGGGCTAGAGCACAGGATTTGCTCATGGGAGGCTCTATTTCAATAGAACAATGTAAATCACAGAACTGTGAGTAGCTCCTGAGGCCCACTGAGTGTAGCCCAGAAACCAAAAGGAAAAAGAAAGCAAGCACCAGCAACATGTGAATGTGAATGTGGGGGGCAAAGCCAGGCATTTGTGTTTTCGGGCTAAGTGACTCTCACAGGTAGTTGGGCATGTCTTCCAGGATGCCCCCCATTGATCTTCCTTTACTCCATCACACAACCCAGAACTACAGAGGCAACTCATTCTCCCCCCCTTGGTCTTGTCAGCTGCTAGGCATGGATCTGCACAGCATCATCATCACCTGATGGGAGGCTCTTTTAGTGCCTCTTTGATTGCAGAAGGGGTTGAGGGTGGGAGATGGGGAAGTAAGCAAACTGAGGGATGGGTTCCTAGTCTCAAAGGGAATTTCACTTTGAAGGAAATTTTTCCTCAGCAGTACAGGGAAGGCCTGGAGTTTCTTTTCTTTTCTTTTTCTTTTTTTTTCCTTTTTGGGTCACAACCAGTGATGCATAGAAGGGCTCGTGCGCTCATCATATGGGATGCTGGGAATCAAACCCGGGTTGGCCATGTGCAAGGCAAATGCCCTTACCTGCTGTGCTATCGCTCCAGCCCCAGCCTGAAGTTTCTTGAAAAGGGAATAGAAGTCCAAGCTTCCAGATCTTTGCCTTCCTTGTCTTCCTCCCTCCTCCTCCCCCTCCTCCTCCCTCTTCCCCCACCTCTTCCTATTCCTCTTCCTCCCCCTCCTCCTCCCTCCTCCCCTTCTCCTCCTCCTCCTCCTCCTCCTCCTCCTCCTCCTTTTTCACCTTAACTCAGGGTTTACTCTTGGCTCTGCACTCAGGGATCACTCCTGGAAATGCTCAGTGAACCACGTGTGGTGCTCAGGATCAAAACCTGGGCTGCTCACACACAAGGCAAGCACCTTACCTGCTGTATTATCACTCCAATGCCTTATCTTTTGTTCTTATCCTAGTTCAGCTGTTTTAAGAGTCATCATATTGGTGTGTGTGTGTGTGTGTGTGTGTGTGTGTGTGTGTGTTAAGAGAGGGAGAGGGTTCATAATGATAGCACAGTGGGGGCAGCTGCCCAGGGTTCGATCCCCAACATTCCATATGGTACACCCACGCACTGCCAGGAGCAATTCCTCAGCGCAGAGCCAGGAGTAACCCCTGAGAATTGTCAGATGTGACCCTTCCCACCCCCCCAAAAAAGACAGAGTGAGAGAAGGAGAGATGGCTCTAAGATTTAAGGGTATTTGTTAAAGGATCACATAAACTAATGCAGAAACAAAATTTGCTTTTTTAATTTTTCCTTTTTTATAATTTTATTTATTGAATCACCATGAGACCAGCTACAAAGCTTGGGGTCTCGGGTTTAAGTCTCAGTCATACAATGAAACACCCGTCCCTTCACCAGTGGCCATTTTCCACCACCAAAAACCTCATATACCTCCCCCATCCCACAACCTCCCCCTACCTGTGGGGCAGATGATTTCCACATTACTCTCTCTCTATGATTACATTCAATATTTCGACACCAGAGCCACCATTATTATTTAGGATTTTATGCGAACACTCAGATCTGCCAACGGGCAACAGTAGACAATTTGTTTTCTATTACTGGTTATTAATAACATATGATTTTGGAATTCCAAAATTTTGACAATTAAATCTGAAGGGATTTCTACCAAAACCTGCTGGGTTTCAAGATTTGTTCCTGAGTCTCTTGGATCATGGCCGTTAAGCAGCTTGATCAGGAGCCAGAGAGGCCATTCATGGGTGACGACTCTAAATCTCATTGGGGTGGGGAGGAAAGGGCCAGCTCCACCCCCATCCCACAATGCCCTGTGTGTCTCATCATTGTGGGCCCAATCCTGACTATCCAATGACCTCTGGAGGATGGCGGCCACCGAGCTGCCAATGGGGAACAGGTGGAGGGACAGCACCCTTTCCCCCTTGGAGTGACCTAGCACTGGTAACCTACCGCAGGAGCTGGACACATTTTTGCCCAAAGCTGCTGGGTTTCGAGATTTGTTTCTGAGTCTCTGGGATCGTGGCTATTAAGCAGCTTAATCAGGAGCCAGAGAGGCCATTCATGGGCAGCGACTTGGGGTCTCGTTGAGGCAGGGAGGAAAGGGCCGGCTCCATCCCCATCCCATGAGGCCCTGCGTGTCTCATCACTGAGGGCCCAACCCTGACTGTCCAGTGACCTCTGGAGGATGGTGGCCACCGGGTCGCCAGGGGGAACAGGCCAAGGCACAAAACCTATTCCCACCTAAGGTGGCCCGATGCTGGTAACCTACTGCAGGGACCAGACACATTTCTGCCAAAAACTTTTGGGTTCCCAGATTTGTTTCTGAGTCTCTGGGATCATGGCCATTAAGCAGCTTGATCAAGAGCCAGAGAGGCCATTTGTGGGAGGCAACTTGGGGTCTTTTTGGGGCAGAGAAGAAAGGGCCTGTTCCATCCCCATCCGGTGAGGCTCCATGTGTCTTGTCACTGCAGGACCAAACCTACTGTCCAATGGCCTCTGGAGGATGGCAGTCACTGAGCCGCCAAGGGGGATCAGGTGGAGGGACAACACCCCTTCCCCCCTGGGGTGTCCAGAGCCGGTAACCCATTGCGAGGACCTGACGCATCTCTGCCAAAAGCCACTGGGTTCTGAGATTTGTCTCTGAGTCTCTGGGATCATGGTCATTAAGCAGTTCGATCAGGAACCAGAGAGGCCTTTCCTCCAATTATACAGCTGAGCCAGAGGTGGTTTGTGGGTGTGTCTCCCACATACTTAACTTTTGGCTGTTTACTTTCTTGGTAAACTTTGCCCCAAGTTTTTGGGGTCTGGCCAAAGGCACAGGAGCAATTTTGGGGTATATGGAAGTCTGAAGGCACCATCAGGCTGCTGATGCACTCACCTCACAGGTACATATTGACCTGCTGGCAGCACCATACCCCTCTTTTTTAATTTTGGTAATAGAATCCATATCCATCAGTGTTCAAGGGACTATGAGGTGACAGGAATCAAACCCAGAGCCTCACATTGCAAGGCAAGTGCTATACCACTGAGCCACATGTCTGGAAAAGCACAATTTGTTTATCTATTTGTTTATTTATTTATTTATTTATTTATTTGGGTTTTGGACCACACCGACCAGTGCTCAGGGCTTTCTCATAGTTCTCTGCTTAGAGATCACTCATGTCAGAGCTCAGGGGACCATGCCAGGGATTTGGACCAATGCCAGGCATTCTGACCAGGTCAGTCATGTGCCAGGCCAGGTTTTAACCTGCTGTGCAATTTCTCTGACCCCACAGTTTGCTTTAACCAGTTTGCTTTTTCCTTTCCTTTGCAAAGGAAATACTTAGCTCCATCCTTCCCTCTCTTGTTTCCTCCCCACTGTAACCAGCTAATGGGAGCCACCTAAGGAATGGTAACTGGGTATCTGTCCCTCAAGGAGCCCCCAGGAAACAGTATGTCTATTACTTTACACTCTCCTGTCACTGGGGAGTCTAGTGCCTGTCCCTGCTCCTCACTACTCCCA